TATTATTTGTATCACAGCAGTGAGCAAAACCTCCCAGAGAAGTTGTAAGCATAGTCTCCATCTCCAGAGTTCTTAATTGAATGTGTCTAGAGTCAGGCCTCAGAATGCTGTTTCCTTTCTTTAGAATTTATATTATTACTTTTGTTTTGTTTACGGGACAGTATTTCTCCTTGTAGTCATAGCTGTCCTGGGACTCACTCTGTAGACCAGGCTTGAAAATATATAAAACACACATATCTTGATGTGCTAACTATAGTAGATAGAGCCAGCCAGCAACCAGGTCCTGATGTATTTGTAGTGGCTTGGGGGTGAGAAGCTACTATTGTCTCTGGCCTTTCTGGTAAAAGGTATGAAGTCCCACCAGTAAAGAATCTCGCAGGTCTCTGTAGAAATAGCTGTAGTAGATTTCAGAGTAGTAGTCATTCAGTAGGAGGAGGCAAGGGCATGAGAAGCTGTACCCTGGTCTCTAGGGTCTATGCTGTCCCTGGCAGATTACAGAATCCCTGTCTCCAGCCCAGAGTCCCTGGCTCCTATCTCACTACTGAAGTTGTTCCACCACTCAAATTATCTTTGATTCTTATATTAAAAGAGAAAAATGAGGCCTGTGAAATGGCTCAACAGGTAAAAGTGCTGGCAGCCAAGCCTGATTATCTGAGTTTGGTCCATGGAACCTACATAGTGGAAGGGAAGAACTGAGTCCCACAAGTTGTCCACTGGCTTCCATATTGATGGCATGGCATGCTTATCCATACACATACACAAACACATACACATAAATAAAAAGTTTTAGTTCTCAAAAATTAATAAAATAACTTAATTATTTAGCTGAATACGACACTATTGAGACAAAGGGACAGCATTGGGTTGGGGGTGGAAGCCAACAAGTGCTTTTCATTTTCTGGCAAATCCCAAATTGTTTTCTAAGCCGTTTCAGATATTGCTGCTTCTGCTGACCAGGAAGTCGCACATTGAAAAAAGTTTATTGATATGAAAGAATACTTTATTTCTCCTCTTGAATGCTAGTTCTCCATCTATATGATCAATGAATTCATTTTGTCATCATTGTATTCCTAGGACCTAGAAGAATTCTTAAGATTTCCTGTGGACCACCCACTTGCCATTTGTAAGAATTTCATAGGAGCCGTGTTGGTTTGAGTAATAATGGCCCCCATAGGCTCATATATTTGAATGCTTAATCTTCATGGATTGGCTTCATTAGAGAAGGACTAAAAGATGTGGCCTCATTGGAGTAGGTGTAGGCTTGTAAGTGGAAGTATCTCACTGAGGATAGGTTTTGGGGTTTCGGAAACCCATGCTAAGTCCAGTCCTGTCTCCCCACTGTTTGAGAATCAGGATATAGAACTCTCAGATACTTCTCCAGAACCATGCCTGCCGTGTGTACTGCCATGCTCCCAGCATAATGGACTGAACCTCTAAAACTGTAAGCCAACCCTGATTAAATGCTTTGTTTCATAAGAGTTGTTGTGGTCATGATGTCTCTTCACAGTAACAGAACAGTAACTAAGACAGAAGTTGGTACAAAAGAGCAGGGTATGGCTGATAGGCCTGATCATGAAGTTTGTTGGAGGAATATGGAACACTTTGGGACTCTGAACTACAAGAGGTTGAACACTGAAAATTTGGCTTAATGGACCCTCCTAGTAGAAGCATTAGAAGCCAGTGTTGTGAGTGATTTGAACTATGGCTGCCCAGCTCAAAAGCTTTCCAAATGGAAGTAAGTGGCCTAGAAATCAGTCTTATGATATTTTCAAAAAGAATGTGACTGTTTTCTGTCCTTGTCCTAAAAATCTGCCCAGGGCTAAACTGAAAAGTTTTGGATTAATGGCAATGGCAGAGAAGATTTCAAGAAATCCTAACATTGACTGTGTCATATGGTTATTAATGGTCACTTTTATTCAGATCTACAATGAAAAGGAGAAAGGAAAAATACAAAATGTACAGTTTAAAGGCCAAGGTGCACCAGGAAGCAGATTACAGAAGACAGAAGGCCCAGTGCTCAAGGATATGTTTAAATAGGCGTCTGATGCTAAATGGAATAAAGGGAGTGGTGACCTCAGGGCAAGACCCCCACACAGCTAATCTTCCAACTTGTGAAATGTAATTAAAGAAAAAGCTTAAGCAGTGAAGGAAACCACCACCAACAGAATGTAATTGAAGAAGGGACCCAAGTCCCATCCCCACCAAGCAGAACAACTTGGCAGCTTGTAGTTCTGGCTTTAGAATCAATGATACAAGAAATGAGTTATAGACTCTCCCTCCCCTGGGCTAAGGAACGCTACTGAGGTCAGTCATGTGTAAGGGTGTCCCTGCATGGAAGCCCAGAGAGGTCTTTCTGTAAAGCTGTGAAGTTGAAGCCTGAATTGCCTTGGTGACCCCAAGATGTTGGAGATGTCAGAGTGGTGGGATACCTGCCAAGGAGAGTCGCCAACAGGGAGTGGAACCAGCCTGAGAGAGAGAAGTGTGTTGAAGTCAACAAAGCTTAAAGAGATTTGAGATCTGAAAAATCATTTTGACATAAGACATGGAAATGTAGAGCTTGGGGCTTGCTCAGCTGGTTTTCAGTCTTCTTTTTTTTTTTTAGAAACTTTTTAAAAATTTAAATTAGAGACACAAGCTTGTTTTACATGTCAATCCCATTTCCCTGTTTATCCCTAGTACATGAATGGACTTTGGGAGCCCACTCCACATAGAGGGATACTCTCTCAGTCTAGACACACGGGGAAGGGTCTAGGCCCTGCTCCAAATGATATGACAGTTTTCAGTCTTTCTTTGGTCCAGTATTTCCTCAGTAAGCTTCCTTCTCTATGTTGTTGTATGGTAATGTATATCCTGTGCATTATATGTTTGAAGTATGTGATCTACTTTTAAAAAAAAAATTTACATGGGGTTATAGTTGAGAGATTGCATGAGTCTCAGAAGAGACTTTGAACGTTGGACTTTTATAAAACTATATGGATTTTTGTCGTTGAACTGAGCACATTTTTGCATTATGGTATGATTACAAGCCTATGGGGGCCAGGGAGTGGAAAGTAGTGGCTTTTAGTAACCAGTGACTAAGATGGGCCAAGGAAGAGAAACAGGAGGTTGAAACCTGAGGGTCAGCAAAAAGGCTTCATAATTCATTTGTATGACTCAGCAATGCCAATGCCTGTGATGCCAATATTATCTGAGCCTTCTACACCAAATTTCACCTTCTTTTTGGTGGAGGAAGATGCTAATGAAATATAAACTACTCCTTTAGGAGGCAGTTTCCTTGTTATCCACTCAAGGAGAGTATACATAAAGATCTTTACCAGCCACTATGCTTATACAGAATAAAATAAAACTTTGGATATGTATCCTCTCATCACCACATAGCTTTTAGTGCTTTCCAAAGGGATGTTGATGAATGTAGACCATGGCTATGCATTTGCTGCAGACAATAAGGAAGGTATACAGCAGTGGTTCTCACCCTTCCTAATGCCATGAACCTTTAATACAGTTCCTCATGTTGTAGTGACCTCCAGCCAGAAAATTATTTTCATTGCAAGTCCGTAAATGTAATTTTGCTACTGTTATGAATCATAATGTAATTATCTGATATACAAGACATTTGATATGTGACCCCTATGAAGGGGTCATTCATCAGCCAAAGGGTCACCACCCACAGGCTGAGAATCACTGGTATATAGTATAGTGGGAGTTTAAAGAGACCTCTTAATTGGCAAGGATGGGGGGGAGTTGGGGGTAGCACATGCTAGTAGAAGCAGGCAGGCTAAATGTGGTGGCACATGTCTTTATTCACAACATTTTGGGGGCAGAGGCAGGCAGAGCTCTGTAAGTTCAAGGCCAGTCTGGTCTACATAGTGAATCCCTGGCCAGCAACAGCTACACAGGGTAAGATCCTGTTTTCTTTCTTTCTTTCCCTCTCTCTCTCTCTCTCTCTCTCTCTCTCTCTCTCTCTCTCACACACACACACACACACACACACACACACACACACACGTAGGGCTTTAGGCATTTGAGGCCTGGTTTGCATAGTGAGTTCCAAGTCATCCTGGGCAACACACACACACACACACACACACACACACACACACACACACACAGCTTTAGGCATTTGAGGCCTGGTTTGCATAGTGAGTTCCAAGTCACTGAAGGCAACACAGTGCAATGCCATCCTCCCCCCAACCAAAAGTTTTATAAAAATGCTTCCTGAGCAGCAATGGTCATAACATTAGCACTTTAAAATTATTTTATATGTATGGTTGTTTTGTCTGCCTGCATGTCTGTATATCCCACGTGTGTCTGGTGCCAGTGGAGGGCAGAAGAGGGCATTTGCTCTCCTGGAACTAGAGTTACAGACCTTTGGGGGCCACTGTATGCATGTTGTGAATGGAATTAGGGTCCTGGGGAAAAGCAGCCAGTGTTCCTAACCACTGAGCAATCTCTCCAACCCATAGACATTTGCATTCTTACTTGGAGAAGTCACCCACAGCTGAAACAGATGACAAAGCTGTCTCATTCAGTAGTCGCAAGAACCTTATGGAGCAGAAATAGTTGTTGTCTTCATTTAGGCACTTGCTGGCAAGCCTGATGACCAGAGTTCAATCCCTAAGACTCAAGTGGTGGAAGGAGAGAACTCATTCCCAGATGTAGTCTTTGTGGTCTTCTGACCTCCACACATCCTCAGTCCACAAATAAATACTTTTCCTTAAAAAAATCATGTGTTACTTTGAAATTTATATAAACATGGAAGGAAATGATACAACATCTTAAATTAATGGGTGGGGCGTTTGTGGGGGGTCCTACTTCTTTGAGTTGTACTATTACCTAGTGAAGGAGTCTAACCCTGGTTAAACTCACTGAATCACAAAACCAAGCAAAAAGTCAAGAATATGGGAAAGGGACCTGTGTGTAGGGTTACTGGCAAGGTTGGGAGGAATATAAGGGCTAGGGTGAGGGGTAAGAATAACCAGAGCCATCACACACATATATGAAATTTTGATAGAATGTATTTTATAAACTATTTTTGTTCATTTATAGTAAAATTATCAAGTGAGGTTACAAAAGATATATATGACCATGAAAAGTATATATTCTTTACATTTTACCAGTTAATAATGGTAATGATAATATAACATAAGAAAAAAATGCATGTATTGCTTTTCATCAGCTAGATAATCAGAGCATGAACAGAACTCTAGGCATATATATACTCTTACTAGATTATAAACAAATGGTTTTCTTCACATTGCCTTGTGGCACAGAAGTACAAATCAACTCAAAACACATAAAACCTAAGCAGTTATTCTCAAACAATTTAAACTAATCTCTTCCTAAGGCTTCCAGAGAGCAGACAGAATGCGCCTAAGCCATTCATCCATTAAGTAGTGGCAATGAAGCCATTATCAAACTTTGGAAGGCAAGTTTTTCTCACCCCCAAGACACTTATTATTTTCAAAAATAAAACATCCACAGACTACAGAGAAGCTGAGCGTTACTAGCAAGGCATATTCATGGCAAAATTTTGGATTCTCAAAGAATGGCAAGGTGATGGTTGTCAGTTCGTTTGCTGACACCGGTCTGAAACAAGTATTAGCCATTCACTTCAAGGTAAGAATTCCCACATCTGGGATGTAATTAGTTTTCAAGAGAGAAAACAAGTTAGTACTAGGCTGATTTGTTTTCTATAATGTCTCAAATGGAGACCTAAAAACGATGAGGGTTTTTTTGTTTATCTGTATTACAACCACACATTGTTTAACACAAATAGTTCCTTGCCTTTTGTTTTCAACAAGAATTAAACTCCCTAATAACAATGAAAATAATAAACACCAAAACAAGAAAACTCAAACAGAGGAATGGGGTCTCTCCCAACAGAGTTCAAGTGCAAGCTTTCTATGAACCCCTCAAATCTGCCTGTGGCTTTTGTCATCCCTCTGACCCCAGTGCTCTCAGTATGGGAGAGACAACCAAGGGATTTTCCCCAACACCACCACATAATCTCTCCCTCATCAGC